ACAAGAAAAGCTTACTGAACATTATGATTTATCTGTGAACATTATAAAATATTTCGCTGCGGAAAAACCCAATATAACGTTACTCATCACAGATTGCGTAAAATATTAATTAACATCAATTCCACCAAATTAACTTGCATTCTGGAAAATCTCTCGGTTCAACCGGCAGTTTTTTTCTAGAATTTTTCTTCAGTCTTTCAAAATAATTCATGCGATGATACCTTTTAAATAAACCACCACCAATTCTCTTGAAATTATATACTCTTTATTCATTATCATGTCTGAATGTCATTCGGTCTTACAGACTAAAATCTCTGCAGATGACGTATCCCCGTTATAATGATGATGATAATCATTAATAATGTACCAGCCACTACGTGAACATTTAAGTACCTTTTCAATGTGTCTTATACCATAAAGGCAAGTGTATTAAATAGGCTGAGACGAGCTCTCGTCCTCAGCCCTACCTATAAGAAAAGTGTCCTACAGCTTCAGTACAATAGTCGCTTAGCCGACAGATGAGTGCGACTTCTGAAACTGCCTATAGATTCTTAGGATAATAGAGACACCAAAATAAAGAAAGAAAGAAGGAAGGAAAAAGGATAAGAGAAATGTCTGCCGTGGGTATGGGATGGTGAGGATAGAATGAAGTATAAAGCTAGCAGGGTTGAGGTCAAGGGTCACGAAAACAGCGGGAGGTCTACCTGCCAGGTGCTCGCCACACTGCACGCCGGGCTGTTCAGAACCACCGCTTTAATGTGACACGATATTTGGAAACATTTAATGGCAGAATCTCGTATCTACAAGACCGAGGCGTCATTAATGACTGGCGACGAACTCGGACGCTGGACCACAAATCGCAAATATCTGAATCTAAGATCGATTCGATTACAAACGATGTGAGAAATTTATTATTAACTCACAAAACGAATACGATAAATGTTTGTAATGTGTTTGTGTAGGCTTACGTATGTAGCCTATGGTAGTTCTCGTTTCAAGATTAAACTTTCCTAACTTATCTGTTTGTTTAAAACCTGCAGCTTAACTACTTAGCATCTGGCGAAACAATTTAAAATCCCGCATTTGTGGAATCTGTGGTTTAATAACAGGCGAGGACCACGTCACTTTGTTCTCTGACGCGTAACACTAAGTGATTCATTTGCTCTTTTATTTATTTCTGTAACAATTTTGTATTTTTTATTCTTTTGAAAAATCAGTGGCCACGGTGGTCTAGCGGTTAGAACGCTGGCCTTGTAATCCTGGGGGTCTCGGGTTCGATTCCCGGCGGTGCCCGAATTTATAACTTGTGTTGGGCCAGGCCGTGGTCTAGGCAACACGGAGTTTTCCTCCGTGGCATCCCAACAATTACTCCATTCACACACAGAAGAAGGCAATGGCAAACCACTTCTGGATCATCTGCCAAGAACGTATATGAACAGGTCCCAGTCCGAGAAAAGGATGGAAGGATCCTGTTCATATGGACCTGTCGTCAGACAGAACACTAAATAAAATAAATAAATAATAGGTGGTTGTTACCCCAAGAATACGACTGTATAATTCTAGAAGAAACAATTTCGTGTCTGAAATTCTTTTAGAACCAATTGAGAAATATCTGAAATTCACTTTTCCTTGCTACGGATTTCTGGATAAGACCCACTATTTATATTTATCTTAGAGGAACACAAAATATTCTAGATGTGGCTCATTTAAATCAAAGCAAAGAAATGAGACTTACGATGCACCGAATGTGTTATTCTTCTTATTAGTTACTTCTGATAACTCTGATTACAATGCAGATCTTTGATCTCACCACTGTTACTGTGGAGTCTGTTGACTTGTGGTCACTGTGGACCCCCTGGGTGTCCTCTTACCGCATAATTACGTCATCATATTGACCCCTGGTGAGGCGCCCACCGGACAAAGATCATGAACAAGTTGATTCTCCGAAGTCTCCGCCTTATCAGTCACGCGGTTAAGCCGGTTATGAGAGTCACGTGACGATAAAATATGTTAGCACTTTCATTAGCGATTGGTGTCTTCATAAATAAAATCAGTCGGGGCCCCGTCTGGAACAGGGATTTTGTTTCGAGATAAGATACACAGCTAATGAATCACACAGCGCGTCATCGGATTCATAATTTTATTACTTTCATTCCTGCAACAACCACCTAGGACGTGCCTAAACAGCGCATTTGATGTGATCAACAACGGGCGAGGTGGAAAATGGAGAGCAAACCTAGATCATGCACGTAAGTGGAATTAAGAAAAGTTGTCCCACTGTTGAATGCACAATCCAAAACAGTTTCAAAAGCTTCAGTAATTAATTTATACGACTGCTCAAAGTCTGCACGTCCACCTGATGGTTGACGTCCGGTGGCACGACCTTAATAACAAGTTGCTTTTTAAGTTATCACGACGAAACATTTATTCATGAATAACAGCATATAAAAATCTCCCCCTTTTTCTAATACGATTTAAAATACTGGATAAGAGCAACCTCCACGAAATGTGGGTACCATTTTCCTGTCTTTCATATATTGAAAGCAAATGTATAACTTCCGTTCAAAAAGTCACATGATTATTAATTAGAATGTAAGAAACAAAATTTTCGGAACTTGTAAAATTATTTTATTTCCTTAAAACATATATAACGTGGAAAAATTTACAGACGTAATACGATATATTCTTAGAAGTAGGTTATAGGCATATCGTTTAGTATAAGCTACCAGGGTCAACGAAGAATCGTGTCTTTGAGGAAGGCAAAACCGGAAGTCGCCTTCTTCCTTGAGGTAACACCCATCGCAAAGTTTTCTGCAGAACCTAGGCAGTAATTTTATCCACGGGTGGTTTCCTCTCCAACGAAGTAAAGTAAAACCTGGTATTGTAAGTTGTATGAAGGCTTTCATGTGTCCATGAGGGAAATTACAAAGAGACTCCGTGAGAAGCAACTCAACCCCATCTTCCATCGAGGCTTCATGTGCCGTCCAGCTGCCTGTCTGTCTATTGTATTGAATGAATCAACCAACACAAGTTTCCATTATGCACTGCATTAACTAGTAAATACATAGTGATTTATCGAAATGGATGTTGACAAATACGAAATAAATTCCTACCGTCCGTCATTATGTATTAATAATTTATTAAACAACGGGCGAAGGTTCAGATGTTTGCTTTATTCATAATTGAAAGGAACACAAAAATATATATAAATAGTTAAATAAACACGACTAAAATGTAAGGCAGGGCCAAAACTTAATGTTCTTCAATTTGTGCCTTCCTTCTTATATAAAGAGAATTTCATGTCGGGTGTTTGTAGGACATTACTACTCTAGGCAACACGGAGTTTTCCTCCGGGGGCTTCCCCGGTTTCAATTACTCCATTCACACACAGAAGAAGGCAATGGCAAACCACTTCTGGATCATCTGCCAAGAACGTATATGAACAGGTCCCAGTCCGAGAAAAGGATGGAAGGATCCTGTTCATATGGACCTGTCCTCAGATAGAACACTAAATAATAATAATAATAACAAATAAGTAATGTGTTGCAAAATTTGCACGTATAACCACAGTTGTCGACCTATCAAGACATACATTGCCCTTTCACAGATATTAAATATACTTTATGATATGTATGCGGACAATTAAAGACGTTAATAAAATCCTAATGGAGCAAATTGTTTTGGTATTCTAAACTGCGTAGCGCTTTCTTGGGTAGGACTGTCAAACATTTTAGTCTTTAGGATTAAGGTTAACGTGAATATAGAAAAGCGGATTTAATATTAATAATTAATTTTTATTTCGTTCATAAATTCAACTTGTGACCGGGAGGGACGAATTCATTAGACTGAAACACGAGAGACAATTTGCTTTAAACGTACTCTGAAATCTGGCTGTACTTAGATGCAGCCAGAAATATGTTACTCCATAGGGCAGAGTTCTTCTGAAGAAGCCGATAGTCGCTCAACTAGTCAAGAAATTCCTCGCCTTTTATGGAAAACAAACGGTCATCACCTTGTTCAAAACAGCCAGCCACTGGGCTCCATTCTGAGCCAGCTAAATCAAATCCGCACATTCCCAATCAATTCCCTTGATTTTAATTTTAGTATTTTGCACGCTTACGTCTTCCTAGCGATCTCGTCTTTCCAGGCCTTTCAAAAGAAGTTATGAACGCATTTGTCATACCCCAAGGACGCTAAATGCCCCGTGCATGTCATTCTTGATTTGATCATCACGTTTGGTGCAGAGTTATTTTTATTATTATTATTATTAGTGTTCTGTCTGACGACAGGTCCATATGAACAGGATCCTTCCATCCTTTTCTCGGACTGGGACCTGTTCATATACGTTCTTGGCAGATGATCCAGAAGTGGTTTGCCATTGCCTTCTTCTGGGGGTGAATGGAGTAATTGTTGGGATGCCACGGAGGAAAACTCCGTGTTGCCTAGACCACGGCCTTGTCCAACACAAGTTATAAATTCGGGCACCGCCGGGAATCGAACCCGAGACCCCAGGATTACAAGGCCAGCGTTCTACAAGGACCTCTGAAACTCCTTAACTCCTCCAGCCTGTATTATTCTTTAAAATCTGAGGGATCATGAAGGAATTTAAGTTCTCACAGCGGTGAGTTCGAAGAAGGCTGTCCTCTGGGTTGTAGCGCGATGAGTCGCCCTGATGATGGCAGCAGCAAGGACCTCTGAAACGTCGGTAAACTTCTACCAGACTACACGGTGCTACATCCCAGAAGACAGCTGTCTTGAGAGTTGAAAGTTCACACCAATACGAAAACGTATAAGTTTTGTGTATTTTAATTTTTGCGGTTTTGGGAAACAGGAAGACAAAAGATTGTGAACTACGCGCGGACAAAGATGTTCGTTGGTTTGAACAAAAACGTAATTTTTGTTCGTTACCGTCGGTCTCGAATTCTGTATTTGAGATTTTTGAATGAATGACGAGCCGTTCAGCGGTTGATCAAATTCGGGGTGTGCCGTGACTGTTGCAGGCTCTCGAGAGACGGCGTTCATCTACGCCATCACGAGCGCCGCGGTGGCGCACTCCGTGGCGAGGGCGTGCAGCGAGGGCAGCATCGAGTCATGCACTTGCGACTACAGTCACCAGGCGCGGGCCCCCCAGGTCTAAAAAACCATGCCCGGCCTCCGGGACTGGGAGTGGGGGGGTTGTTCCGACAACATCGGCTACGGCTTCAAGTTCTCCCGGGAGTTCGTGGACACGGGAGAGCGCGGCCGAAACCTACGGGAAAAGATGAACGTTCACAACAACGAGGCCGGAC